TAAACCACACTTGGCTGATCCCAGAGGAAAACAGGAAGGCTACCTTGGGAAAAGATCATTCTGAGACCACACAACCCGGGCCTAGCCACCTATAGACACAGGATTTGAATGTATTCCTATTGCCAGAGAACGACAAAGTAGATAAACTAATTTAGGATGCTCCAGCCTGAAAATATTCCCAAAACACATGACCTGGGAAAAAAAATCTTGGTGCTGCAAAAGCCTTACCCAAGCCTCATAGCAAGTCTTTGGTCACTGAAAGTGATCTCCCGGCACCAAACAACACACTCCAGCAGAGAACCAGGAAAGTGTTACGAGCAAATGAGAAACACTTGAGTAGCACTTTGTGGCTGAGTACTAAATATTTTCTAAGCTGGGCAATCCCACGAAATTCATAAAATCTGATGCCTTTTTATTCACTGGGGAAAAAAAATTGTAGCCAGGCAGCGGTGGCACAGGCCTTTAATGCCAGCAATCGGAAGGCAGAGGCAGGCGGTTCTCCAAGTTCAAGGCCAGCCTGGTCTACAGAGTGAGTTCCAGGACACCCAGGGCTACACAAAGAAACCCTGTCTTGAAAAAGAAAAACAGAAAAGAAAAATTAGAAATCCATTTGTCTTGGTTACTTTCCTACAGCTGTGACAAAAATATTGTCACCAAGGCCACTTAAAGAAGGAAGGGTTTGGGGCTTGGGGTTCCAGAGGGCTAGGTCTGTCACCATCACAGTGGAGAAACGTGGCAGCATCCAGGCAGGCATGGGGGTTGGAAGAGCTGAAAGTTCACATCTCAGAGCACAGGCAAAAAGCAGAGAGAAAACTGGGAATGGTGCCTGGCCTTTGAAACCTCAAAGCCAATGGCATATTCCTACTATAAGGCCATGCCTTCTAAACCACTTCCAACCAACCAAGTATTCAAATGCCTGAGCCTATGGGGGACACCCCAGTCAAGCCACACCATTAGGAAGAAGGGAGAGGGACATCTGTCATGGCGAGACACAAAGTGACAGATGCAAGTGATAAAGTAACATCTAGCTGGAAACTTCATTTTTTATGAAAAAGAACCAAGGCTATGGGTTTGTATGTGCATGTTGTACGTAACTGCTTTTATGGAGATAAACATCCCAACTTATCCAAGTGTAGGATCAAGGGAAAATTGAAGAAGATGGTTTCTATTATTGTTTGGCTCCTTTTAGCTTTGCAATGAGCATTTGTAACTTTTAAAAATAAGGAAGTATTCTAAAGAAGTCTTCTGTTTATAACAGAGATTCTGTTTATAGCAGAGATTTTGCCACTGAAAATAACGGACAAAAGCCCATTTTGTAAGCGTGGAACAGCTGCTGGCTACATGGAAGCTCAGCCCTGGGCCAGGACAAATCCAGAGCTCTTTGATGATCTTGGGGCCATCATCTCAAATGCAGTTACTAAGTTGATTTTAAGGAAGTGTCCCCTCGGAGAATAAGGTTCACTGGGATGATCTTGGACATGACTGAAGAATTGATTGCAGGTCACGGATACCTTACAACGTCTCTTTGTAGTCATGGGCCAAGAGATTCCATCCCAGCATTAGAAACAACAGCTTGTCCCATGCCTGGTGCTAGGCTCAGGGTTAGTCAGGTGATCAAAGAAATGCTAGTCAGAGCAGATTGACAAGCTGCATATAAGAACATATCTAATAGAAAAAACTAGCAATTCCAAGACATTTTGAAGAATTATCTAAAATGTCTTTTTTTAAAAAAAGATGTCTTGCTTACTAATCTATGAAGATGCCATAATAAAACCTACTACTTTGTATGCTAACCTAAAAGATTTGTTACTTATTTGTTTTTTTTTTTTTTTTTTAAATATTTATTTATTTATTATGTATACAATATTCTGTCTGTGTGTATGCCTGCAGGCCAGAAGAGGGCACCAGATCCCATTACAGATGGTTGTGGGCCACCATGTGGTTGCTGGGAATTGAACTCAGGACCTTTGGAAGAGCAGGCAATGCTCTTAACCTCTGAGCCATCTCTCCAGCCCCCTTATTTGTTTTTAAAATGGTTTTGTGGCGAAAAGACTCTTGTTAAGATGTGAATTTTACATAATCCACAGAAGAAAACTTTGCTATATTATAAAGGTGAAGAATTTGCTTAGAGGGAGGGAGATTTAATGAAGGGGGAAAAACATTTTTAGACATTATTTTTAAATCAATAGTTCAGGGATTTTTGTTTTGCATTAAAATTAGCATCTGAAATCTAGCAATTGCAAAATGAATTTTGGGACCATTAATTGGCTCAGTGGGCAAATGGTCTTGCAGCCAAACCTGATGACCTAAAGTGTGATCCCTGTGATCCCCTTGGTGGAGGGAGAGAATCAGCTTCTCCAAGTTGTCCTCCGACCTTCAAACATGAACCCTGGTATATGTGAGCCATCCACCCCCCTCACACAAAATTAATCATTGTGATGTTGAAAGAGAAAGGCAGATGTGTGAGAAAAGCTCTTCTCTTAAATGTCAGTAAAGAACGGGGAAGAAGCAGTTCTTAGGAAACCACCATTTCATTTTGTGTCAAGGCAAAGGAACACTAAAGCCCCAAAGTGGCATTTGAGGGACAATGAATCCACATAGCCCTAAGGAATGTCCCACAACTGCTAACGATTTGCAGTAAACATAATTTTATAACAGAGACGTCCACGGGCACCAGCTTAACCTAAGGTTCACTGTTCTGTTCAGTAATAACGATGAGAATTGACGTCTCTTTGATGTGAGCCCATACAAGTACCCAGCACCCCTAGTGAAATCCTGCCAATAGTACTTAACCTCAATGCAAGCCTCAGTTTGCTTACAGGAACCACAGGGGTTAGGTGTCACGATATAGTAGAAGAAAATGACCAAATCTTGAGAGTGGACTCTTTCTTTAAGGCAATTATGCCAACTTTAAAAAGCTAATGCCGTTTTTAAAAAAATACAGGTATATTATTCTAAACTAAGAAGACTAGAAACCTATAACCAATTGCAACATGCAGTATCAGTCGACTCCTGGTTGCAAATGAAAGAGGATAGGAATCTCCTATTCAGAAGTTCTTCAGACAGGCCAGGTGTCATGGTGCACATCTGTAATCCCAGAAGTGATGAAGCAGAAAGAGGACTGAGTTCAAAGCCATTCTGGGTTACATTGGTTGAAGCCAGCCTAGAGATTAGCACATATTCTCTCAAATAAATAAATTAATCAATTAATTTAAGTTTAAAAACAGCACTTCAATATAAATATTTGGTGAGTTCCTGTTATTTCAAGTATGATCATATCATTATATCAGAATTTCTTCTTACTCTGAGGAAATGCATCCTTGAGTTTTTAGAGAAAAAAGACCACTCCTAACATACTTTAAAACAACATAGCAGGCTGGAAATGGTGGTGCACCTTTGATCCCAGAACTCTGGAGGCAGAGGCAGGTGAATTTCTGTGAGTTAAAAGTGAGTCTATTCTGCATAGGGAGCTTCAGACCAGCCAGAGCTACATAGTGAGGCCCTGTCTAATAAATAAAGCAGCAGTGTGTGGGAGAGATGGCAGGATTGCCATATGGCTTTGGCCTACAAAAGCGGCAATCTGGCATCACACACAGTTAAAGCAAACATGGCAAAAGTGCTCTAGCTTTTGAAGCTGGGTGCTGACTTCACATTTGTTTACTGTATTGTCCTTTCAATTTTCCATGTTTAAAAACTTGTGGGTGGATTCTTCCTGAAACTTTCGCTAAGTCATGTGTGCACTTCCATAATTCCAGCATTCACTCAAGTGACTTAGGAAGCAGGACTGTGAAAACTCAGGCCCAAAGGGGCTACCGTGAGACCCTGTCTCAGGAAAAAAAAACAAGAATGGAGGAGGAGAAAAGACAGATAACAAGATCTACCTCAACTTTTAAACTACCTAAACTTTATCTACAGGAATTATTGGGGGGAGGGTGGCTGGAGAGATGCTCAATGCTTACAAGCACTTGTTGCTCTTGCAAAAGACCCAGGTTCAATTCCTAGTACCTACAGAATAGTTTACAACCATCTATAACTCCAGTCCACGGGATCTACTGCCCTCTTCTGACCCCCACAAGCACCAGCAACACATGCTCCACATCCATACATGCAGGCAAAATACTCACATAAAATAAAATAACATAAACCTAATAAAAATATTTTTAAAGTGGCTTTTCAAAATCCGCCTATTCACTATCCTAAGCACAGTAAAAACCTATCTCAATTATGGCAAATAATGCTGTACTGCTGGAACAAGGCTAATATAAATCTCAACAATAACAGCAACAGCCAGCACAAGATTTATAGGTGTAAACATCTGGTTTTTATAACAAATAACAAAGTTAACAGCAATAAAACAAATCATTTAGTACAGCATATAATGTGTTATATTAAATTTACACAATGATATATATAAAAACACATACTGTTTATATCATACAGTAATTCAACAACAAGAATATCAAAACAGGAATCCAAACAGCTACTACTCATGCACAAAACATGCATATATTGGTACTTTAAAAAGGCTATTTTACACAATACTGTTTACCAAAAGCTTTCTAAAAAGTTAAAGCCCTTCCAAATAAGTCAGTGGCCCAATGAGGACTGGAATGCACTAATATTTAGGCCAGAGTTTAGGTGGCACCGTGCTCGGCGAGCAATTATGGGCTTAGAGTCACGCACATTAAGGGTGAATGTCTTTGCACCAAAGGATCAACATTTTATCACCAAGGCAAGCCCTCTAAGGGACAAACGGTTGTATTGGCTACAAGCCAGGAGCGGAGAGAAAGGCATCAAAAACTGCTGGATACATGGCCCAAGAGAGGGTTACTGTAACAAAGGCTGGGGCACTACATATGGCAAAGGTTTTTTGTGAATCTTCTTAAGGTACTGTTGGTCTCTCTACCCTGATTGCCACCTCCAGATTCACAGTCTGGTCTACAAGTTCTACATCCAATAAAAAGCGTACTTCTGAGAAGAAAACGGGATGCGGAGACCTCTGAGAAGAGTTGACTGTATTAAAAAAATTTACCGAAAGCAATGACCATTTTTTTTTCTACGTACTCTATACAATTCAATGCAATGCCCATCATCTGGAAAGCCCTTTCAGGGACACAGCCCTAAAGAATCAAGGAGCAAGTTCATGTCTTAAAAAATTCCATCCACGGACCTTGGAAACAAACGGTCTCATCCAAATAAAACCTGAACATCAAAAAACCTGTATTTTGCAGACGCTCGGACAATATAAACCAAAAAAATAAAAAAGTTGATAATCAAAATTCTTTCACTATCACCACCATTAAGACCTTACTATTTACTTCTAACTAGCGATATATCCTTCACCTTCCATCAAAGGCACTAGCGTCCATACATAATTTATCGTGGGCTTATCCTAACAAAAGGTAAGTATCCCATTTCAATATGACACAAATATTAAGACACCACTTTTTTTCCCCCCAGAGACATGGGGATCAGGAGGAGGAACACTGTCTACATCAGCCACTCAAACGGTCGTCATGAGTTTCAAAGAGCCCGACCGGAAGCGGAGGATCTTCTTCTTGAGGTTGTGCGACGCCTTGATCTTGACAAAGGTTTTCGTGGGGCAGGTGTGAAGGTCCGGGGCGGTGACCGTTTGAAGTGGGAGAGTCTGGACGAACTGGGACCAGATTAAACCCCCGCTCTCCTCCGAGTCGCTGGTGGTGGTGCTCTCGCCCACGAACTCGCCCTCGCTCACGCTGGACTCGCTGTCGCCGAAGCAGTTGGTGGTGTAGTTGCTCTGCTCGTCCTCGCTGGTGTCCACCACGGTCGAGTGGAAGAGCGACTCGCACTCGGCCGAGTACTCGGAGTCGCTGGCCACGTAGGCGTAGGGGCTGGGGTAGGGCAGCGCCACGGCCACCGGGTAGGCGCCCCCGTGCTCCCTGCGGGCCCGCCGCGCCCGCCGCAGGGCCTCCTCGTAGGAGACCTCGGCCGACGACTTCCACCGGCGGTAGTCGGTTCGCTTGTGCTTCGGTTTGGCCACCACCGGCTCCCGTCCGTGCGCGTGCGCCCTGCCGCCCGCCCGATGGCCGCCAGCGCCCAGGGCCCTGCCGGGAAGGCCCGCGTCAGGCGGCCCGCCGCGCCGGCCCTTGGAGGAGGCCTTCCTGAGTTTCCTGTTTGTATCCGAGTCGTCGGGGAAGCGGCACTTCTTGCCCGCCGCCCGCGTTTTCTCCCGAACGGTGGGCAGGCCGTGCTCCGGGGCCGCGGGGCCGCGGGCCTTCAGGGTGGCGCTCCTCGCGACGCCCGGGTTCCTGTGTGCGCGGTGAGGCCTGGCGCCCGCCTGCTGCCCCGGGATGAACTGAGCCTTCACCAGATGCCCCTCTTCGAGGCTCTGAGACGAGCCCTCGCTTTTGAAGTCCAAGGGCGGCCGCTCCACCGCGGGCAGAGCCTGGAGGCCGCCCTTCTGCGGCATCTTCTTCTGGGGCTGCGGAGCTTTGTTCTCTACCGGGGCGACGGGGCCTCTGCCGGGACTGGCTTTAGGAGAGACAGCTGAGACCTGGCCACTTTCCTTCGGGGACTCCCCCAGCCCCGCAGGACACCTGGCGAGCTCTTGAGAGGCTGCCTTGGAGGTTTTGGGCAGATGCTTGCTTGGAGGTTCCGTGGCCGCGCTGGCCAAGCAGCCCTCCGGCAGAGCCAACCTCTTGCTTTCCAATGGCTCCGCCTTTGAGTCTTTTGACCTCTGCTTAGGTGGGGAGAACGGCCCAGTTTCCAAAGTGGCTATTCCCCCAGAGGGCAAACACATCTGTTTCATATTCTTAAGGTTCACACCACTGCCTTGTGGGACGACGACACCAGGGACCCTGACACACACACTTCCATTCCTCAAAAGCCCTTTGGTTGGGTCAGCATTCACACTCGTTCTAGGTTTATTGGTCCTTACAGGGTGTGTTTTTTTCTGGACCAGGCTCAAAATGTAGCCATCCATTTTCTTACTGGATGAAGAAGGATGGGAAGACCACAAACCGCTCGGAGATGGCAAGGAGTTATCCGCTTTGGGGGCGTTCAGTTCAGATCCGAGGCAAATGTCACTGGCGTGGCTCCCCAGCCCCTCCTCTTCCCGCAGAGAGCTGCCCGTCAGACAAAGGAGAAACATTGGGCTCTGCACAGCCACGGCATGAAGCGGACTGGGATATCGATATACATCATTCCCGTTTTTAGACACCAGATCACACTGGTATTTAGGATTCACATCTGCAATGACATCAAGGGAATTAAATAGTGGTGTGGAGGGGGAACTGCAAATTGCCCCGGAGGCCTGGTCTTCACAGTGGCCGCCTTTACATTCCAACCATCCTATGAGATCTGAAAAACACGTAAAGGTACACTGAAGAAATGAACCTCTAGCACAGCCTGACTCTGGCCGAATGTCACTAGAGAAACTTACAGGTTGAGAGAGATTATCAAAGGATTGGGAAACACTCCGCACTAGCTCTTCTACAAGTTTACATGAAGGTCATGGGTTACTGAATGAAGGCAAAAAATATCCGAGAACTTTGACAAAAATATGTATCATGTCTTTAACAAAAAACATAAGCCACAGATAATGCCTTGAAACTACTGAATAATGGAAGGAAATACTTCCTGAATCTTAGCGACAGTGATGACATAAACCAGTGTAGTTTTTAAGATATGTAAAGAAACTCTGAAGTGAAGCACACCAAAATTCTAACAGTACCCTTCCGGTGCGGTGAGGGAAAAGCAATGGGCCGTGCTCTTCTGTTTCCAGTAACTGTACTATAGATGTGAGCTGTCATGTGGATGTTGGGAATTGAACCCGGCTCCTCAGGGAGAGCAGTTACTGCTCTTAACCACTGAGCCATCTCTCCAGGACTATTTTTTTTTTTTTTTTTGGTGTTTTCAAGACAGGGTTTCTCTGTAGCTTTGGTGCCCGTCCCAGAACTAGCTCTTGTAGACCAGGCTGGCCTCGAACTCCTAGAGATCCGCCTGCCCCTGCCTCCTGAGTGCTGGGATTAAAGGCATGCGCCACCACCGCCCGGCTTAAGGACTATTTTTATTTTTAAGTATGTGTGTGTTGTGTGTGTGTGTGTGTGCATGCACACGTGTGTTAGTGTATATGTGTGCAGGTGCCCACAGAGATGACAGGATGCCATCAGACTCTGAGGCTGGACTTACAAGCAGTTGTGGACACCTGAAGTGCAAGAGCACAATGCCTGCTCTCCAGTGCGCAGGTCTTACCACAGTAACCCCTAGTAAAACTTCTCTCCAGTACCCAGATATTACCACAGTAAGCCCTAGTAAAACTAAACACCCACTGTGTCTTCAGGAATGACACTAAGAATAATACTTTTAATAGGATAAGGAATATTTGGTAAGATTTTTAAAGACTGAGCAGTTTTATAAATTCCTTGGGGACAAGGTTCAGCAGTTAAGAGCATATGCTGCTCTTTCAGAGAATCCAGATTCAGTTCTCCACATCTGCATGACTCCCAGCTGCCCTCTGGCAGCTCTAGAGGATCTGACGCCCTCCCTCTTCTGGCCTCTGGACCTATACATGTGGTGCACATACATACATGCAGGCATATTCATACACATAAAATGCTTTTTTTTAAAGGAGAAATTCCATCAATCTCAAAAATGTGCATGTCAAAATACAATGAAACAAAGCCCTTAGTTAAATGTTGATTTCTAGCTTGGAAAATGTTATAACAAAATCTTTTTATGACCTCCAGTTAGGGAAATTAGAAGTTTTTCTCTGTTATATCTATTTGTTTAAATAATGAGAACTTGCTATGTATAAAATTCTGTGTTAACTGTTCAGGGGAAAGTTTATGACCTTCAATTTTAGCAGTCTTGGGAGAAAAAACAAAAAGATAATCTAGACTCAAGGATGATAAAATTTGTAAGGAATGACCTTCAATTTTAGCAGTCTTGGGAGAAAAAACAAAAAGATAATCTAGACTCAAGGATGATAAAATTTGTAAGGAGGTTTTTGTTGTTGTTGTTGTTTTTAATGAAAATGCCATGTCTCGACCGCTAATAAAAGCCTGCTAACAGTAGGGAAGCCCAGCATGGTGATGGGGACCTATAATCCCAGCAGGAAGAGGGCCAGGGGCAGGGGAGCCCGGAATTAAGAAAGAAGAAAGGACAAAGACCTCTGAAGAAAAGAAAGGACAGGAAAAAACTAAAATGAGACCTCTCTAGCTGACATTGTTTCCCATCATCTCTCCCCTGGCGCCTTAAACCCACTCTTTTTCTCATTTGCCTTTCTCTAGACTTAGAGTGGAACAACACGGTCCCCAAGGCCCAGCCCAACTGTCTCAATTATGTAATGTTGTACCGTTTGGAAGAGCTAGGAGTCTGTCTTCAAGGAAAACCTGCCCAAAGTGCCTTTTAATGGGTTTATAAAGTTTCCCTCTGAAACCAGATCTGCAGAGTGATGGGGAGCAATTAGCAATGAACTTGAGGCCCAGATACTAGATAACAGGTTCTGTACTCATCCCGAGTGGTTGATTGCTACTGATAACACACACTGTACAAATGCAAAGGCTTGACCAATTAGCAACCTCAGCTGCTCAGTGTGATGTTTGTTTTGCCTGGACTCAAAGATGAAAATCACAGAGGGCAGTGGCAATCCCTGCTCCTCCAGCAGCTCTAATCCTCGGATTTTCTCTGCTCTTCTACACCAAAATATAGCAGGAAGGAGGGAGAGTTCCGGCTCAGGAGCTTCTAGCAATAGCTGGCTGATAAGCCACAATTTTATTTTATTGTTTTAATCAGATGAGATGGTTAAATGTAACCATTTCTGAATTCTCTTGGAGTGGTGGGACAGCATAAATTAGACCTGAGTTTGAATCCTGTCGTGCCCAACTATATATAGCCTCAAATCATTTAAATGACTTCACTTGACCTCATTTTTTAATATTTAGTTTTATGTGTATATGCCTGAGTGTATGTACCACATGTGTAGAGGAGCCTGCAAAGGTCAGAAGAGGATCAGATCCCTTGGAACAAGAGTTACAGATGGTCGTGCTGGAACCTGAACCCAGGTCCTCTGCAAGAGCATTAAGTGCCCTTTACTGCTAAGCCATCTCTCCAGCCCCTCATTTTCTTAATACATAACTACACCCAAAGGGCAACAACTACACCCTGAAAAGTGTTAGGAGGATTCAAAGAAGATAAATGTATGCAGAGTATCACAAATTCTTCCATCACTAACAATACCATGATTATCTCTAAAGCCTGAGGTGGATTATAATATATAGATTATGGGGAATTTCACCATGTGAGGTATTCTGAGAAACATGGAAGGGCCACTGTTCCCAGTATCAACAGCCCCTGGTTAGACTGATGGGCATATGTAACTTAATGTGTAGTTTAAAGAATAAAAGAGTTCCAAGACAGTTTTCAAAAGAAAATAAAGGACCAGACATGTAGCCCAGGGGTACCCCAGGAACACAAAAAGGAATGTAAAATGGGTCTGTAGATTGTATATAGTATGTGTTTAGTATATGCAAGAACCTGGATTCTATCACCAGCATGAGAGGAATGAGAGAAGGACAGAAGGAGGGAGGGACGGACAGATGGAGGGGTTAAACAGCAAAGAAACAGAGTATATATCTCTAATATAGGGACAATTCCCCTAAAGGCAAAGTGTCTTTCTAATTCCATAATATAAAGTCAAATGGCACCCAAAGAGTTGGTTAGTCTAGATGTTTATCTAGACCAGAGTACAGGCTCTGTGTGGAACTGTGGCACTGAGTGCATGCAGCACACTGACCAAACTGTCTTCCTATCAAGGAAGCCACTGAAGCCACATAATTTTAAAGACCCCTGACCTCACCCAATTAAAATTTCTGTCAATGCTAAAAATCCTTACCTGCAGATTTGGGGCAACCATCTGAGATAGTCAAAGCTGCCTCCAAGGGGCTGCAGAAGCAGGTGCTGGAATGGCAACTGGACAAACACTCACTGAACACGGAGTTAGAGGAATTGGAAAGGGATCCCGAAGCCCCATCACTCAGCTCATAAAACCCTACAAGTAAAAAGACGGTTGGAATTAAGATCATATTAAGCAATAGTGCATATTTATGTCTAAATAGGCAAAAGGGTAAAGCATCAAGGAAAAGAAAAGCTGGTTTCTGATTTAGATTGTTGGGGAGATTCACATACATTGTAGATTTTAGGGTCCTGGTTATATGGTTTTATTTCAAATATTCCTTAGAAAAGGCAAAAATTACATAACTCTGGGTATAGTTCAAAGTTCCCTTCATCTTCCACTTTTAAAGGTGTGTAAATCTGACAGAACCTCACCATCAGGAGTGTTTCAAAAGGAATAACTAAGTTCTCTGGGTGTGGTGGCTCATGCCTATAATCCCAGCACTCAGAAGGCTGAAGCAGGAAGACAAGAATGGTCAGTCTGAGCTACCAAAAACCTGAAGGAAATACATAAGTAACTTTAAGAGAAAAAGAGACTTAAGAGCCAAATGGTTGAAAAGAAGATGAAATTGTGGTGATCTCAGGAAGCTGAAGTGTGTGGCTCATCTTCTAGCCCAGATCTGACTTTCTCAGGTTCCAAAGCAGATCTGTTTGCTTCTCCAGAAATCTGAATAGAACTTTGTGGGTTTTGGACTCAGGGGACATTAGGCAGCTCAATCTCATTATTAAAAAATGTTGTAGACTGAATTTATTTCCCTCTCGAGCAACTGTATGGCAGGCTGCTCTTCAAAAGTTCTCACACTGGAAACAAACTCCATTGCCACTTGCTAGGATGTTTCCCTGAGGCGCCTGCTGGCTCACCTGAGCTAGGCCGGCTGTCCGTCTCCAGCTGCTCTTCGGACGTCTTTTCAACATCCAGTCTCAGGTCACTTATCTGTTTGTCAAGTTCCTGTAGCTGATTCAGCAGACCGGCATCTCTTCTCCTCAAGCAGTTCTGATGGGGAGAAGCAGGGAAAGAGAATGGGCACACTGGATGACAAAGCCAGAAAGTCTACAGAAGCCACTCATCTAGACAGTCACTGAGCCCTTGGAGAGAAAACGCTTCTGGATAATCTGAAACCAAAACCTCGAGAATGCAAGGCATGCCCTATCTTTAAACCTTTGGTGATGCAGAGTTTGTTCATCAATATAGGGCCAGCAGCACTTGACTCAGTGAATAAAATAATGTTTGCTGCTTGAGCATGACGATCTGAATTCAGTGCCCTGAACCACATTGGAAGGAGAGAACCAACTCCTGAAAAACTGTCCTTTATCCTCCACAGGAATGATGCGGCGCACAGCTGCACTCGTTGGCACACACCAAACACACAATAATGAAATTTAAAAACTCTATACGGCTGAGTTGTAGCTCAGTAGTAGGGAGCTTGACTGGTGTGCACTAGCCTCTGTGCTCAATGCCCAGGACTGGAGGAAAGGACAAGACTTGTTCTTGGCTTTTGCTAATCTATACAAACTGTGGAGTTTTAATAGGGAAGGGCAAGGAATTTGTACAGGCTTTGAATCATCTGGAGTACAGCCAGTTTAAAGAAAATCCTTCACAGAAGGCTCTTGAAGTCAGAGTAAGAAATTTCCTACAGTACACTATAATCTTTCTTAGGTGAGGTTTTCTGGCCAAATGTCATGGCCTACAGAATTTTGTTTTCTATTAGTTGCTTAGTGGGGCTTAATCAGTTTTAGGGCCTTTGAAAGCGAGAAATTAATACTAATAGCCAGCGCCAAGTATAATGTGAGCTAGCAGAATCCAAAACCCTCCAGGGAGAGCCCATCAAGATTTGAACTCAGCTTGGGTTTCCAAAGGTGACAGATTGGTTGTGCTAACTCACACTGCCATCTAGTGCTTCCTATTGCTAGAGAAGCAGAAGAACGCAAAAGGCATCTGGTTCAAATCAAGAATGCCAAGTCCCCAAATGAAAACAGCCCCATAAGCCCTGACTGCAGTGGAATTCTTCTGACACACTGCCTTGCTCCCCTGAAGCGGACAATAGGAATGCGCCACGCACAATCTTGAGATCCGTGAAGACAAAAAGGCACTATTGTACAAGACAACGCTGAAATGTAAACGACCAGCCACAACCAGAAAGAACTGGCTCCAATTCACGTACATACAATTCTGTTCTATCACCAAAGAAACAGTAAAAATGCCAAAACAGAGAGCTATTGCACAAACCACAGCACACATCCTTGCAAAACAGCTACACAGAAATAGCCAGTCCTTCCTCGTGTCCTATGACTTTAAAAGCTGGGAGACATAAGCCATATGCTTGCGTGCTAACATTTGAATTTCATCAGCTAAAAGATGAATCAAGCAAAAACGCTTTGATGCTCAATAAATACACAATCTAAAAACCGGCAATACAAGCAAACACGTGACAACCCCCAGCATCACTTTCAGAGGACCATTATCTAGCATAAGTAGTCTAATATAACAGGGCGGGTTAAGAATCTTTTTGCTGTTTCCAAAACTACATTTTGAGGTCACTGAAACAAAGCTGCCGCCATTATTTTGAGGCGGCGTCAAAAGCTGTTCTCAACACATGAAGGTCCAAAGTTCTTTTCCTTCCTTGTTAATGAAGACTGCACAGAATGACTGAGACGGTGACAGAAATCCAATAAGATAAATGCTCCCAGCGAGCAGGTTCTCTCCTCTCCCACCTCCACCACCAAGCACAGCTGGCGGGCCGGATAAAATACGAGAGGAGGGGGCGAGCTCTCCGGCCAAATTGCCAGCCAGTATTTGCATCTAGTTTTAGCTGCCTTATACAAAGGACTTCTATTTAAAACTAAGCACCAGGAGAAAGAGACTTGCAGGGAAAAGAGCACCGGAAGGGGCACGGCTCCCAGCAGGAGCTTCGCTGTAACCGTAAAACTCAATGTTGGATAGTTAGCCGAGACACAAACTCCCTCCTCGCTTTTGTCCACCCCCCAGGGGAGGGGGAGTAACTAGGGAGACCACAAGGTGAAATGGCAGTTTAAGTGGGGGTCGCAAACCTCTGAGGAAGGGGGCATGCAGTAGCCTAACTTTCATCCTGGAACCAAGGGACTTCAAGAATTCCAAACGCTGGAGGGAAGGAAGAGCCGCCACCCCTCCCCGCCATCCGCGCGAGGTCATCAGCTCCTCAGGTGACACAAAGCAGGCAACCTCCAGCAACGCGTGGAAGTCACACGCCCCGGGCATCCACGACACCGGAGTCAGGGAAAATCGAGGCGCGACCAGAGACTACCAGCCCACCCTTCGGTCCCGCCACCGGCCACCACCTACCAACTGCCTCCGCAGCAACAAGATGTTCTCCTCCAGGAACTTCTCCTCCAGACGGCTGCGCTGCGCCGCGTCCCCTCGCAGCTCCCCGGAGCGCGGCGTGATAGTCGCCGAGGTCCCGGAGCAGCGCAGCGCGCCGCGCACCAGCAGCTCCTGGCGTTGCCGCAGGTACCCCAGCTCCGCCAGCCCCGCCAGCGTGGCCTCCTGGCGCTCGCGGGTGCGCTGTCGCTCCGTGTCCGCCTCGCCCCTCTCGCGCCAGCGCCCCTCGGGCTCGGCGCCCCGGCCGGGGATCAGCGGCTCCGGCTCGCGCGCTGCGTCGGGCTTCATGACCCCGGCGAAGCCCGGTCAGCCCGGGCGCAGCAGCTAGGACCGCAGGCGAGCGCTCATGCCGCCAGCACTCGCGTCCCGCGCCGCTCCAGTCTGCCTCCCCGCAGCTGATAACGCCCCGGCCCCGCTACGTCACGCCCGGCCCCGCCACCCGCCACCCGCCACCCCGCCCGCCGCCGCTTGCAGCGCTCAGCTTCTGACAGGCGCTGCGGCCGCCTGCGCCCCGCCCCGGCTCCGCCCCGGCTCCGCGCCCCCTTTTCGGTCCGACGGCACAGCAGTCCCCTAGGCGCCGATTGGCTCGGCTCCATCTCCGGAGACCGTGGCGGGCGCGGGACGGGCATCTTGTTACAGCCAACCTTGCGGGCAGGTCCGCGGGCGCCGTGGCTTCGGGCTCCCGGGACAACTTTCTGCAACTTAACCCCTTCTTTACGTGCCCACTCTCCGAGTCCGTTCCCTTGGATGTGGGTTTTGCCATTCCAAGCTAATGTCGACTAGGTACTCGAACACCATTTCTGTGGATTTGGTTTTGGAGGGTGTCTTTGTTTTAAACTCTATTTGTAATTTAAAGAGAAAAAAAAAAAAAAAAACAAGGCAAGGACATTGTTCTTAAACTCTTTTTTGGCTTTTCAATGGAAGCTTTGCTGTAGAAGGCATTGAAAATCAGGCAGAAGGATACAGCTGTAAGGGCAGCAGCCCCCATCAGTTCTTATAAAAGCCTGGACTTTATGAGGAGTGGCATTGAGCGCCTAGGGTTTGGGCTTTTATTATTCCTTAGACTCTGTTTACTAGAGTCCTGACTCGTAAACCAGACTGTCTGCATCTGCATCCTCTTTCATCCACCAATAGGAAAATAAGTGGCCTCTCTTTGTGCCTCCATTTACCCAACAGTAAAATGGAGCTAACATACGTGGTAGACCAGCATGTAAATCTTAAGAGTTATTGCTCTCATCTGGGCAGTGGTGGCGCACTCCTTTGATCCCAGTACCTGGGAGGCAGAGGCAGGCAGATCTACAAAGGGCGTTCAAGGACAAGCAGGGCTACCCAGAGAAACCCTCTCTCGAAAAACAAAGAAAAAAGAAAGAAAGGAAAAAAAAGTAAGAGAGAGAGGGAGAAAAAGTTATCACTCTCAGGTTTGTTGTTGTTGTTGTTTTCTCCTCCAGGGAGACTTGCAAAATTTTTCCCTGAAGTAGCATTTGGGATTGGACTTGTGTCCTTGGGACGCCACACTGGGTATCTGGAAATGCCACTAGCTGGCTTATAGAGCTATACCACGTGTCTCTTAAAAAAAAAAATCAGTGCAGTCAAGCACCTCCAAAATTGTATTTAGCAAGTCACAATTTGATGAAGTTAAGACAAAGTGTTATATGAAAGAACACATTTCAAGTCATGATTTCAGAATTTTACACCTTTGTCCAGCTGTTTACTCCAGCAAGGAATTCTCTCCCCACCCCCAATGTGGTCTAATCTTCCAGGATCAATTGATTCATTCCCCAGCTCCGAACTGGTTAACAGCATGAGTGTTTGGTCCTTCTGACACGCTCTTATCTGGTTCTGGTTCTGGGCACACACAGTCTGTGTATTTAGGTGTTCACTGTGTGTCTTCTCTCCAGCCACATCATAAAAGCCCCCTGAAGGCAGGGACTGTTTTAATACCTTCATGGCATCAGCGTTCTCACTCAGTACGAGGCTGAGGCTCGTGCTGGAGGAGAGGCCCCCGAGGATGCAGGCTACCTGTAAATTGTTTTTCTATTAGCATACTTTTAAACTTAATAGGACCCACTTAATCTCTCCAACAAACAGAATTAAGTTGACCTTTACCGAAAAAGACACAAACAGAAGCAAGAACTCCCTTGCCACCCACTCACACTCCTTATCCACGACCATACCTCCCACAGACATGAAAGGGACCACAGTCTTGGCTCATAATTAGCATGATACTAAAAAATGGAACCGTACTCAGGTGTTCCCACACATACAAAGTCTACAGGTCACACGTGGTTTAGCCTATTGTGTGCCAAGCACAGCGCGGTAAGACTGTTCCCTGGTTTCAGGAAGACACTTCAAGAGTAGTGTTTTGGCTTACTTGCCAAACGCCACTTTCGCGAGTCCATTGTTTCCCTCATTTATAAACAGACCTCTTGCTTTCTAGTCTGAATTAGGTTCCTTCTGGCTGGGCAGACCCTAGCATTGTGGCCTGTGTTATGTCACACATTGACAACTATATTTATATAGTCCAAGGGGGGAAAGGTTGAAACGTGTTTTTACACACTGCTAATAAATCTTGTTACAACTGACAGACAAGTCACCCTGTCTCCAAACTTCTTCACCTTCCTACCTCCCCCCCAGCGCACACACACCCCTGCTCCCCACCAAATGCCTCTTTAGGCCGGCTTGTTAGTCCAAAGCGAGCCATTTGTCATAGCAGCCTGTCCATCCCCATGAAAAGGTGTTCCCGATGAGCTGAAATATTAAAACGAAGGTATGCCGAGGATTCCGCCAATAAAGTGGTTGTGGATAGGAAAACTTGGGTTGTGCTTTCCAAAGTATCCATTACACATTAATAAACAATGCTGTTCATTCAGATGCCAATTAAAACAAACTCGGGCTGTCAAATGAAGTTCGAAGCAAGGAACTCAATGTGGTAATTGTTTTTCCAGGAAAATTCCCAATGTCATCAGATTAAGTGTGACTGGCCTAGCTGCCCCTGTTCTCTTCTGAACCTAACAGTCAAATATTTTCCTCTCTAGTTTAGTTTGCTGGGCTTTCTTTATTCTTGGATTCTGTGTTTTGTTTGTGCGGGGCGGGGGGAGGCAGTAATCACCCACAACCCCCTTCCATGATGAACAAGGTCTCCCATTCCACTGTGGTTTTGATTTTTCCTGCCTCTCTTTTAAGCAGTCACTGGCGCTTCTTCCTCCACCTGCGCTACCTATTTCTCTCTTTCAGGTGGTGTTCAGCCCTAGCTCGATCTTTTTCTCTCTCTGAGGCTTATTCTTTTCATAAACACTGCTATAGCCCTCCAGAGAGTGTGACATTAAAGACAGAATGAACTTCTGCTGCCTTAAGGATCTAGAGAGTGAGCTAAAGGTACCAGCAGGAAAGCAAGAAAGCCTGTTGGCTGGACACACTGCAACTGTGTAGTTTATGCTTGAAGACATTTTCTAAGCAAGGGCTGGAAAGGGTTCTTACATCATGGTCTGAAGCTAGAGCCTTGGACAGAACAGTTCCTAAGAGCACCCCATCAAAGTCTGAGCATCACTCCGCAACTTCTTCATCCTGCAGTGAATATTCTATTGCACGCAGCGTAGGAGCCTTAGCTGCATGGTTTGCTGTAGAGCACAGCAACAAATGATGCCTTGCAGCTTTTACGGCCAAACAGAGACAAATGATGTCATTGAGCAGTGCTGCCTCTCCAGACGGGAGGGGGAAAGTAAAGTACAATCCTTTGAGATTGGGTGATGACCACCATTTGAGGGTCTGGGATCAAAGCTCCAGCCAGACATCAAAGCCCATTTGAGTCTAGTGCCAAAAGAGTCACAGTGAATTAAACTTCATATACGGACTAATTAGAGCTGGACCCCACCATCAGAGACGTCAGTGAGCCCATAGAGGAAAGAAAGACGACATTGAAATAAAAGATCATCCAGACGGAAAGTTGGTAGCAAAACTGAGCAGCATCATGGCCCTGAACGCATTAAAAAAGTCTCTTGAGGGCAGAGAGGATTAGGGAAGGATGGGGCAGACAGCAACCTCCTGACAGTTGCTCGTGTTGTCTGAAAGACCGTGCAACAGCCTCTTCCATCCTCTGGACTACATGAGCAAATACAGCTCACCCCTGGAAGAAAAGGTTGGCTTTTAGCTGCATGCTTAGTGCTAAAGAGGTTCATACTGCCAGGCGTCTGTTGAAGAGGCTCAAACTGGCTCTTTTGGAGACTCAAGCTTCCCTGTACCAGAGCACTGTGACCTCTGAAGAAACCCGTATGTCCAAGACTCACCTGCCCCACGATGCTAAGCCCTAATGTGCCATCCACCCTGGATCTCAGGGTCCTGATTATCATTTCTACCAGTCACCCTAACAGACAGCAGATGCAGTGGACCAAGTGTGCAAATACTCCAGAACTTGGCACTACCACTGGGAACCAAGGAAGCGTCTCGTGCTCAGGCAAATCTGGGTAGCTTCCTTAAATGGTTGCGTTTGTTTGTTTCTGTCCTCACTTTGTTCTGTCGAAAATGTCCCCCAATTATTTAAAATTATCAATCTCACAAAACTGGTAAGTTTTGGGGAATCTGATTTTAAGATCCACAGACTATTCCTTTGTAAGGAATCACAGGGGGTTCTTTAAGTAGCAAACTCTAGTGGCTAAGTTCCAGGGAACCCTACACTCTCACAGATAGACATGCAGGCAAAACATCAAAATATCATAAACAAGCTCCCTCTAGGATAAAAACAAACATGGACCGTCATCATTAGATGGCTTTGGTGGTGGTGGTGATGGTGGTGGTGGTGGTGAGGTGTGTGTGTGTGTGTGTGTGTGTGTCTGTGTGTGTGTGTGTGTGATTTAGCTGATTCCATTGTGGGGGGGGGCTGGCTTTGCCCGCATGTCTGTGCCCCATATGCATGCAGTGTCTGCAGAGGCCAAGGAGGGCATGGGATCCTCTGGGACTGGAGTTAAAGTTGGTTGTGAGCTGCCCTGTGGGTGCTGGGGCTTGAACCTGGGTCTATTGGAAGGACAACTGTGATGGTTGAGCCATCTCTCTAGCCCTAGATTACACCTCTTTATAAGCATTTGCTTACGCAGTGGATATCATGGAGTACCTAGTACACGCCAAGCATCGAGGATACAATGGTGAGCAAGCAAGACATAGCCTTAGCTTCATGAGCTCTGAGTCTGCCAAGTGACGCGGCATTGATTAAATGGCGAGTAAATAATTGTGCAATTACTGTTTAAGAGGAGATCTCAAACACTGTTGATGAGAATATTAGTAAAGCAACTGTGGAAAACAGCCGGGAAACTCTCAAAACCAAAGCTGTAAATAGAAGTCATCCCACTCCTGCATATCAACCCAAGGAAAAGAAGTAAGGATGTCATGTCAAGGAGATACTTCCTGTCCCGTCTTTATTGC